ACAGGCCTTGCTGAAATAACCAGCTATCCCCTACCCCCAATATTATCAAACTCCTGAGACTCTGTCCTGGGGATCCCTAGATCAAGTCCCAAATTGTGGTTCAGATTTTTTTCTTGTATCCAGGAGACTACAATCAGGTTAACTGTAAAAACATAATTATGTTCTATCAAGCTTTAGAAGAAATCAGTAAAATGCTCCAAGAACAAATAACAAAATAAATGAAAGTTTTGAAACCATACAAAAACTGCAAATGGAAATCAAGATTGAGATTTCAGAACTAGATAACGTAGTGAAAGGGCAGAGGAGTGCATTGAATCCATGGACGATGCATGAGGGAGATTGAAGAGAAATCCCTCAATACTCATCTGTTGGAACAATCAGAAGAAAGAGAATGGGAAAAAAGTAGAAAGCATAATAATGTGGGACACCATCACACACACACACACACACACACACACACACACACACACACACACACTTGCAGGTGATCAGAATCCCAGAATAGGAAGAAACAAAAATATGTAAAAGCACAGAGAAAATTGTTGGTTTGCACAGAAGAAATTGTTGGTTTACTGGAAGAAAACGTCTCTAATACCATAAAGATGAAAAGAGATGAGGGGACTTCAAAAGTTCTTGGGAAAATAACAGACGTTTTCATGAACTTTTACAGTCCTGAGTCAGCATTGAAGGAGCTAACTAGATTCCCAATTGGACAGGCCCCTAAGGAACCATATTGGGTGGGGGGGTGGGGGGTCGCTCAGGTAACAAGGGTAGATTCTAGGAGAAGCATTACATGACGTGATTTTATGAATTATTTGAAAATGTCATCGTGATGTCTACCTTATGGGATTTGATCGCATCATAGAAGCAGATGGAACAATCTTCCTAACAGCCTTATTGAGCTTTAATTCGTTAAACACGAGTCCCCCTCTTAAAATATACCATCAGTGTTTTCAACGTATTCACAAAGTCTTGCAACCATGACCACGAACTAATTTCAGGAGATGCTCGTTACCTTGTTAAAAATAAAATGGTGTACAAACTTACAGCCCGTATTTGAAATTCATGAATTGGGGGTGTCTGGTCCAGAAGTAAGACCAGCGCTGCACAGGGAAAGCAAAAGAAACCACAGGTATCTGGACAGAGAGGTATGAGAAGAAGGAAGCTGCTGCTGGGCAAAAAGTATTTGTCAGTTCTGTGTTATTTTCCTTAAATGGAATATTGGAGACCTTTATAGCGGGTCAATAGCGATAGCTGAGGTGGTAAGCACAGGTTGACAGACTAGGTAACTGTGATTTCTGAGGCCTGGTCAAGTTAGGCTCAAAACGTAGCGGTCACCTCCTCAGCCCCTGTCAACCACTAATTTCCTTTGTTTCTATGAATTTAATATTTTATATACGTAGAACTATGCAATTATGTCTGGCTTCTTTCACTTAGCGTGTTCTTGAGGTTCATCCACACAAAGAATCAGCATGTCATTCTTTTTATGGCTGAGCCATGTTCCAGCGTGTGTATATTTTGTTGACTCATCTGTTGGGCCTTGGGACAGCTTTCACTTTTCCGTTGTTATTATCTTTTCAAAGTCTTACCCCAAACCTATAAAACATGTATTGCTGTTCTCCATTAAAGGATTGGTGGTTGATTGAATGAATCTTGTTTCCTTGTTGTTGGTGTCCTTAGACCCCATCGAGTTGGTTCTAACTCACAGTGGCCTTCCGTACAACTGAACAAAACGCTGCCCACTCCTGTGCCTTCTTCACAGTCGCTGCTATTGCTGAGATTGCTGTTCAAGCCAATGTGCCCATCCATCTCATTGAGGATCATCCTTTCGTTTTCCACTGACCTCTACTTCACTTCTTTTTAGACACAAATAACATGCAACTCTATCGGACAGAGTACAACAGTTCCTTAGGCTTCTGAGGCAGTAGATCTTACAGGGCAAACAGCTTCATCTTTCTCCCAGAGAGCTCCAGGGGGATTTCAGGTTGCTTATCTTGAGTTTAGCAGTCCCGTGTGAAACCCACGACACCATCAGGGTTCCTGTATTTTCTTAGGATGTCAAAAATGGCAAATGTCCTCAAAAGTCACTCCCTGGAGTTCAAGAAAAAATAATAGCGATGTCTTTAAAGTGAACCAGGGACATAGATACACCATAACTGTATGAATGGATTTTGAGTTTGCATTTAATCATAGCTCAATCTAAGAACAATTAGTTCTTGTGACATGGCCCTACTCAACACCTACCCTCATGAAGTGATCACTGAAAATATGGGTGCGGTAGCGGTGAAGAAAGCAGATAGTGTCTGGCTATCAGAAAGAATAGTATCTGGTGTCTTAAAGCCTTGTCTTAAAACAAGCAGCCATGTAAATGCAGCATCAGCCAAGTCCACATAAAAGAACCACATCAGCACGGGTGATCCAAGGATTGTAAATAATAAAATCCAAACTCAGAGGGAATAGTATTATAGCTTCCATTCTGAACACCTGGTTTGCAGAAGGCTGCGGATGACAGTGCAAGCCCAAAACCCACTTGCAGGATCTTGCAAGCAGATTAAGCCTCTGGTGAATCTCCTCTGACTGTGGACCAGAGATGGGAGAGGCCTTGTTAACAGACTGAGTACATTGTAGGGTGGATCACTGTAATTATAGTTAGGTCAAAATGTGACACCTTATTTCTATTAGTTCCTGCTTTGTTCTCAATTGAGGTTGTTCTTTGTTTTGATGGGTCATTGTTTGGGGCCATTTGTTTGTATTCTGTCTTGATTTTGTATGATTTCCGGTATATGAAACCCAGGTTGGGTCAACCTATAGAGACGACAACTGGATCAATAGATTCGAAGGGAAATTCGAAGGGAAACGACCAGGGAGGCTTGCAGTAAATGGGGATTGAACAAGGAGGACTCGGAAGAAGAAAGGCCTGGAATTAGTTGTCGTGTTGGTCACACAGCTACTATCATGTTATCGAACTACTGAAATGTATGAGATATGAATTATACATCGGTGAAATTGTTCAACATAAACTAATTATTTGATTAAAAAACTACTGACTGGCCTTAAAAGTCCTAGAGACCAGTCAAGTCCTTCTCATGCAAGGGGGATGGAGTTCTTTCCAACCGCATCCTAACTTCATTGATATGAAACTGCCCTGAGCTATAAACCCAGCACCCTTTGCAGTAGAGAGATACCATTCCTATTAGGAAAACTTCTGGCATTGATTTATACTGTTTAATGCTGACCCTATTTTCTGAAGTCGAGGACCTGTGAAAAAGAGGAAGCCCCTCAATGAGAGGGTTATCATCACTGTAGCGAAGGGCTCACACACAGCAATGATGACGATACAGGACCGTCCAGTGTTTTGTTCTGTTGTACACAGGATCCCTATGGGTAGGAATTGATTTCATAAGACTGAACCTCATCGCCTCTGAGAGGTCATCGGTCCTTTCCATAGCCCATGATTCCCATCGAACAACACAAAGGCTCTACTCCACAGCCCTCCAAAAACTCACTGTACGTGCCCTGCCGTCAAGTTGATGCTGATTCATAGCGACCCTAAACTGTCCCTGTGGTTTTCCAAGACTGTGACTTCTCACAGGAGTAAAAGCCTCGTTTTTCTTTGAGGTAGCGGCTGGTGGTTTCCCATTGCTGACCTTGCGGTAAGCAGCCCAACAGCAGTGACCACACCACCCCGAAGGCGCCTCTTCCTTCATAAAAGAGATATCGAATCTTTTCTTCATAATTTCATCACGCATTAGGCCGGTAACCACACGGTCACCAGTTTGAAACTACCAGTGGGGCTCCTCCGGAGAAAGACAAGGCTTTCTACTCCCATTTAGAGTTAGTTTCCAAAATCCACAGGGGCCAGTTCTACCTTACCCAATAGGGTCTCTGTGAGTTAGGATCCACTCCAAGGCAGTGTGGTAGGTTTTTGGTTTGGGTTTGTCTACTGTCAATAAACTGTATACTTCAAGGGACCTTTTTTTTCTTCAGTACTCCTTAAAAAAATTGTGGTAAATGCGTGTGTGTCATTTCAACATTTCATCTGTAATATACAGTGGCATTGTGTTCATCTTGCTATGCAGCGATCACTGATATCTTAGTGCTAAAATTCCCCTCACCTTTAACGGAAGGCCTGGCCAGGCGGTGGGTTAGATGTTGGGTTCACCGCAAAGTCCTGGTTTAAACCCACCAGCTTCTCTGTGGGAGAAAGATCACGCTGTCCGCTCCTGGAAACTCGGGGTAGACTCCCTGTGAGTTGGAATCCATTTGATGGCAGTGAGCTTGGCTCGTTTTGTCTTTTAGTAGAAGCTTGGTGTCTCCTAAGTAATGAGGAGCCTTTTCATAAGAACAGGTGTCTTGGTAGCATAGCGAGCTATATGTTGGGCTGCTAACCTCAAGGTCAGCGATTCAAACCCACCAGTTGGGAGAAGGACGAGGCATTCTGCTTAGCCACATGGGGGTCAGTCACTATGAGTCAGAATTGACTCAATGTCACTAAGAGCATGAGACAGTTTAATCCTAGAGAGGACTCAATCAATATTTACGGGAAAATGTCCAATCTTTCTGGTAGCGATAAAGTTGGGTCCAGCGTGGTAAACAACAGGAGATGAAGGTTAGCTTGTACCCAATTCTGCCAAGAATTTTCCTAACCTGCCCTCAGTACACTGGGCGTGCCACCGCACTTTATGAAGCAGGAGAATGGGGTCTAGCTTGGTTTCTCCTCTCTGGCGTTGAACGTAGGCTCATTGTAACGTAAGAGACTGCCGCCATCGAGCCGCCAAGGAAAAATCCTTGACAGTGGCTTTCACGGGTCAGTGGCAGGCGCGGAGCAGGTCGAGAACAAAGGCGAGCCTGCGCAGGCGCCGGTCGACCTTTCCCCGCCCACCCCGTCGCGCCGGCGTCTGGAGAAGCCCAATCCCATTGGTTGACGCGGCGCCGCAGGGTCACGTGACGGAAGGGCGGGCTCACGGCGCAGCCGCACTTCCTGCGCCACTGGGTCAGCTGACCTGCCGGGACTGGGGGGCAGGTTTGGAGTCGCTTTAGGCGGTGCCCCTCGGCGGCTTGTGAGTCGTTGGCGTTGCCGCCATGGCCAGCCAGTCGCAAGGCATCCAGCAGCTGCTGCAAGCGGAGAAGCGGGCTGCGGAGAAGGTGTCCGAGGCCCGCAAGCGTGAGTCCCGCCCGGGGCGGCCGGGCGTGGCGCGAGCCTTAGGGCGGTGCTGGGCTGCGGGAGGTGTTGGAGGCCCAAAGGCCTGCGTCCGGGGCCGGGGTGTTTCGAGTCTCAGGATCTTGTGTGTTGCCCAAGGCTTTGCGCCTGGGGTTCTGGCAGGCTTGTGAGTCGACTGTTCGCTGCGCAGCGGGCTGCAAGGTCCGGGCGTAGAGACAGCCCACAGGTTACGAGCGGCCCGTGGGGTCTGGGCGGCCTGTGAATGGGCTCTCTCTCCCCAATGGAACTCGCTCCCTTTCCCGCCCCCACTCGGTCGTTTGAGCTCCGCTCCCTTTGGGCGCTCAGTCGGAAAGCCTGCCCTGCCACTTCTCCTCCAGTTCACCACGATTAGTCAGCCCCTTGCGCACCAGCACGCGAGCCGGGACATCAGGTTCTCTGAGACTCCCGGACCAGCCTAACTCATTAAGTCCTCTTTAAATGCTTTGGATTTTAATCGTGCCAAGGGCAGTGCCTGCTGGATCTGTGTCTATGCTGCCCTGGCATTCGAAGTCCCTGTGAAGAAAGCAAATCTTGCATAGGTTAATTCCCAGTAAAATGAGGATGGACGCTGAGATGTGCACATTGCTAATGAGTCAGCATTTGCATCGGTTCTATCCTGGTCAGTTGTCGAAGACAACTGCCTAGCAATTTCAACTTTTTCTCTCCCAGAGTTGCCCTAAGCGTGTAGTGCCTTCGGAATAAGATAGAAATTCCTTAAGGAGACCGGGGATCTGGCTCCTGCCGTCGGTATTCCTGTAGGTAATCCCCAGAACCTGAAGAGGAGCCTGAAAATGCCACTGTAAATTGCCCAGAGGCATTTTTGTTCAGCTCACCTGCAGCTCTTTGTGTGCCAAGCTGTTTCCTTGGATTGGAGAAGCCTCTTGTCCCCTAGTTCTCTAACTCTAGTTTTCCTACAGGCCCAAAAATTGGGGCTGCAGTGTTCCAGGAAATCACTTCTGACTCTGACTCCTTCCAGGTGCTTATTGCTGCCAGTGAAATACAGTCCCTTGGGTGTTTCGTTTGTTTTTGTTTTTAAATAATTGGTCATCAGCTTCTGATAACAGATAGACTAGGTTAGCTCTGTAGGTCAAGTTCACGCCTGGTGGGATGCCCTTTTACCTATAGGGAGCAAGGAGGCTCAGAAGTGATTTTTATGTATTATGGAAAAAGCTGAGACTTAGGGCTACTTTTTCTATCCCAAGGTAAAACACTAAATAATCGCCTTTAAATGCTAATTAATTTCATCATGGATTCCTCCTGCTTCTGCCCGACACCCAAGTGGATTTCCAGCATGGTTGTTTGTACTACTTTACTAAAGGCTGTAGGATACTCTTTCATAAGAAAAGTTTTCTTTAGGCTGCTCTTGAGAGCTGGCTATAGGAAGAAGCCTTTTCTTACTCCGGTGACTGGAAACTTCTGTTATTTCAGGGTTTCCCTTGATGCAGTATTTCCAGATAGACTTCTCAGTGTCCTGTGATTCATCAGTAACAGGAGTTGTATCTGTTTGGAAGGACAGTAGTAGACTACTTGGGGAGAAGTCCAGGAACTAGTGCCTGGGTTATGGTAAGACTAAGAGTGCCTTGGAGGTAGGAGTCATGTTTTACACATTTCTGCAATCTTTGAGCGTGGTGCAGGTCTTGTATACATATATCTCAAGTGGCCATTACTTATTAACCAGACTAAACACCGACTCTCATATACAATGACCAAGAGAAATAAGATATAAAAGAAATGTAAATTGCTAATTAAATCCATATATATATCCATATCCTCAGAGAAGTTTTGTTAAGATTGAACTCTGAAGGTGTATGTTGAAAAGAACAAAAATCGTTTTAGCATAACTAATTCCCGGTGCTGTGGAGTTGGGAATGATTAGAGATGTGTTGTGAAATTAATGGAGCTGCTGTTGGACAATGTTCTGGTTGGAAATGTTGTTTGTGGGTTTGGGTCTGGGAAAGACCCATGGCTTCGAAATGTAGTTCAGTATAGTTGATGGGAAAGCTAGCACTTGGGGCTTTGGGTTGAAGGGGATTGGAGGAAAGCCAAACCAGAAAGCCAAGGTTGCTGCCATAGAGTCTGACTCATAGCAGCTCTGGAGGGCAGCTGATGTGGAGTTTCTGAAAGCTATACATCTTCAGTGTAGCAAATAACCTCGTCTTTCTCCCAAGGAGTTGCTGGTAGGTTCAGACTGCTGACCTTTAGACCCACTGTGACACCAGGGCTCTGGTGGGAAGGCAGTCGGCTCTGTTAATAATGGCGTAAATACAGAATTGCACAAATGTGGAATGCCTGCAGAGAGACCTGGTGATTGTTTCAGCCTGAGCACGTGGAGTGCTGACGCCATTAGGGCCGCTTGAGTTCTGAGCAATTGATATAGGATGTTAGCAAAAAATAAAAAAACATTTCAGAGGTAGTCTTCTTTTGCTCTAGATCAGCTGTTCTCTCTGTGACCCTCTCATGGGGGTCAGCGATTCATAACAGTATCAAAATGACTGATGTAGTAGCAACGAAAATACTTTTATGGTTGGGGGGTCACCACAGCATGAGGAACTGTATGAAAGGGTCGAGGCACTAGGAAGGTTGAGAACCACTGCTCTAGAGTAAATAAATGCTCGGGTTGGCCAGCCAAGCCCCCCCTTTTATTTTGGCATCTGGGTGCTTCAGAACTTTGATTACTGAGCAGGCTCAAAACAAATAGTATGTGTTGGTTGGTCTTGTGGGGTGTTTTAATACCGGCTGATAAATTTAGATACTTTTCCCATCAGTACATTAAAATACTCTTTATAATTGTCCAACCTGAGGAATGTTGTCATTGTCACCGAATTGTACATACAGAAATCGAGGTGGCATATGTTTTGTTCTGTATAGTTTCAGCGTATTCCAAAAACAGCATCCTAGAAATCTGTTCACTCCTGTCTCTCCTTTCAGATACTGTGTGGTCTTCGGAGCCAAGCTTCCCCATTCAGCGTTCCTTCTCGGTCACCACTTCCTTGCTGGTGACAGCCGTGGGTTTTTCTGCCCCAATATTACATCATCTGTCCCTTTAGTTACCTTTCAGGTTGATGTCCCTTGGGAGCAAATTAAGTCCCCTTGCTAAGGTTCTAAACAGAGCTCCGCTTGTAATCAACAAGCTGAAGTGTTGACTTCTTAGCAAGAGGGTGTCCCCTCGATGGCTAATGGCGCCCATTTTATCCTGGTTCTTGGTAGTTGAGATTCAGAGAATATTCCAGGACATTCCGAAATGTGCTCCTTTTCATCTGGCTGTGGTTAGTGACTCCAACATTTAGTCGAGACCTGTAAGTTAGCTCTGAGTCTCTTCTTTCCTGCTGTCCCACACCCCCGCCCTGGAACTGTTGTCTGGGGGCGTATCCTTGGTTGCTGCTAACATTTACCATCTTGGTTTCTCTTGGCTTCTCTCAAAAAGCAAACAAAACTCGCTGCCACTGAATCGATTTCGACTCAGGGACACGCTGATGGTGTGGTGGCTCCGAGCTGGGCTGTGGTCTCCACACCCTCCGCAGTCAAACCACCAGCCCCTGTGAGGGGAGAGGGGACTCTCTACTCCTGTGAACCCTTACAGTCTCAGAAACTCACGGGGGCCCTTCTTCCCTGTCCCCTAGGGTCGCTATGAGCTGCTTCTCCAGGTGTCCTTTAACCACTCCTGTGATATTCTCTCCCTCTGAACCAGGAAAGAACCGGAGGCTGAAGCAGGCCAAAGAAGAAGCTCAGGCTGAAATCGAACAGTACCGCCTGCAAAGGGAGAAAGAGTTCAAGGCCAAAGAAGCTGCGGTGGGCTCCGTTTGCTTGGTTTCTGAAGTTTCCCCTGCCCCTTGGCTCCAGATATTTAGCATAGCTTAGAGGTCTGACAGAGTGTATTATTGTGTATTTTATTGGATACTCAGGTTGAGTCTCTTAGAATAATCTTAAAAAGCACTGAATCCTAGCCTTCATTAATTCAGTCATTTAACACAAGACTTCAGAAAGTTCTTGAAAAAGTTGATGGAAAAGATCCTGATTTTCCCCTGTGAACATCTGGGAACCCGCCCTTGTCTGTTGTGCAGTTCACGTGGTCCCTGCAGGTATAGGGGCTGGAGAATCAGCTGTGAATGGAAATAGATTACGGTCTCTACCTTCATAGTGCGTACAGTCTGGTGGTCAGAGGCACTCCTTAGTAAAATTCAACTGTGAAAAGAGCTGTGGTCTAATTAGCTACGGAGGAAACAAGGTCAAGAAGATGGAGAAGGGCTTCAGAGGAAAACTTCAAAACCCTTGGCCACAAGTAGCAGAAGCAAACAGGTTCAAACAAGATAGGATTTGCAGGGCTACATAATTAAGAACCCAGGTGAAAGGTTTTTATCTGGATCCAAGCACTTAAATGATGCTCGGGATCCCATTTCCATTTCCCAACCATGCCTTTCCCTCTGGGCGTCCTACTCGGTCTCCAGGTATAGGTTGAGATTATATCTTTGGGCCACCAACGTGCTGTTGAAATGTCTCTGGTAGCTGCTTATGCCGTACATTGTTGAGCTATCCACAAAACCACGAGGGGACACTTGCGGAAAGACAGCCTTCTCCTCTTTGACACCCTATGCTGCAATCAGTTTTAAGGGGGGTGGGGCAGGTTAACTGCTGGACTGATAACCACAAGATCATCCATCCCAACTCACCAGGAGGAAGGTGAGGCTGGCCGCTCTCATCAAGATTGCCAATCTTGGAACCCCAAGGAACAGTTAGGCTCTTTCCTAGGTTGCTGCCAGTCAGGATGGACCCCTGACAGTGGGCTCTAATCCGCTGTTGCACAGCCTGGTTGCTAGGTTGGCTGCCAGAGTGACTGCATCATTCATGCTCTCATGAACCTTGGGTGGAGGGCCTGTTTCCCCTCATACCGTGACTTGGGAGGTGGAGGTTCCAGTGCCTGAGCTGGTCTCTGACATTCAGGGTGAGCCTGGGTTTCTCTCACAGTCAGCAAATTGCCTACTCAGTATTGCTCCTAGTCAGCTGGAGCCCATCCTGACATCTCTGTCCTTGCACCCCCCCTGCAGGCTCTGGGATCCCATGGCAGTGTCAGCACGGAGGTGGAGAAGGAGACCGAGGAGAAGATGACTCTCCTCCAGACCTACTTCCGGCAGAACAGGGATGATGTCTTGGATTCCCTCCTGAAATTCATCTGTGACATCCACCCAGAAATTCACGAAAACTACCGCTTCAACGGATAGGGAAGAAGGGCGAGCCTGTTCCGTGCATTGGCAATGTGGATGCTGTCATGGAACAAGAAGCTTTCGCAGAGCTACAGTGCTATTGCAAAAACGCATTAAATTATTTCTGTATAGTATGGGATAGCTTCCTTCTCTTTTTGCAGAGTAGCAAACCAAGTACTTTGTATAGACTTAGAGCTTATCCAAAGCTTTTATCTTACCTCATATTTCTTATGAATTTAATGGTGTACACGGTTTTCCTATGCTTTTTAGCTGAAGCAGCAAAACTTCTTTCTTAGATATCTAGTACAAAAAAAAATTCTTTGAAGAAAGAAATGGGTTAAATATTTCATTTCCCTAAAACTTTCTTTGAAGGTCAGGGGCTTTATCAATGAAAAAAGTAGTGAGTAGGTATTTTGTAACCTGTGTAGACAGCAGCCAGCCTTAAAATAACCCTCCGTGTTAAAGGGTTAGAACAATGAATACAGGTTCCCCCGCTGTCCACAAGTGCAACTTTCCAGGGAAGGCTTTTGCAAGCCGAGTACGCTTAAAGTGGAGAAGTATTTCATGTTAATTTATGGGGGGATTGTTTTGAGCTTTCCAGAAAACGAACCCACCGAGTCTTTCCAAATAACACACAAACCAGTCTTAATTCCCGGTGTTCACAGGCGTGTTCCAAACCACCCGCTGGATGCTGAGGCTGGGGCCTCCCGGCAAAGAGCTCAGAGAGGCCACTTTGCTGTTTGGGGCACGCGCTGCAAAACACCGAAAGCTGGTTCTGCTGTGCGCCTTTTCTCACACAAGCAAAAACCCCGTGAGCGGAAGCAGGCCCACACGGAGGCCTTTGAGAAATGCAGAGAGGCGGGACTCGAACTTTGGTAAAGCTGGGGAATACCTGTACTCCTCTAGTTTGGGCTGCTTTTAGTTTATAGAAGCGACTAGAGCTGTTACTTGTTATTGATGTAATGGTAATCATCACTTGAAAATAAAGATTCTTTGTAATGGATTGTTTATCCTGATGATGTGAAGCGCGCTTGCCCTGCAGCACAGACGCCCCGTTCACATTGAGAAATCTCAGTAGGAAGGAAGTTGGTTGTGAGTTGACCACAGCAAGTTTGAAAGCAGCAAAGAGCTAGTGCGTCAGCAGTTGGCTTCTCTAGAGTTCCCTTTGCTGGAGGTGTCTCGGGCACTGTGCCCTGTAAAATGCCCTCTGGCGGGCTCGGTGGTTGGCATACGGACCTGCAGAAACTACACTCGCACGTCCCTGAACATGGTGTCCTGTGAGCCAGCACTCCTTCATTTCTGGTGGGTGGAAACATGAGAAAAAATGTTACGGTTTGTTCTGAATGAGAATTCGATGCTCCCCACTTCCCACCGTCAACATCTGAACAATTGAGGATGGGTTGATGGTGATCTCAGGTCCTTCCTGTCTCTATCTCTCCTTTTCCAGTAGGACTTCCTGTTCAGGGGGACCAGTGACTTCCTGGTAGATGCGTCTTGTGACAGGTTGCTCTTCCTTCCTTGAACCACTGGTAGCGCCCACAGTATTGGGCTACCTTGCCTCTTCCCCTCCTGTCAATTCCTCACTTTTACCTTGGACTCTATTTCATAGTTTGGAACACCATTTCTACTAAAGCCTTCCAAATGTTTTCCAATCTCTCCCCTGAACTGTGGGTTCCTGTCACATTGCTTATTTGCTATTTTGATGTGGATGTGTACATCTCTAACAGTATGTCCCAAACTACACCTAGTTTTGCTAGGGCTTCACCCTGGCGTCTTGCTCAGTGTGACTGCAGCCTCTACCTGGTGCAAATACAGATCGCCCAAATGAGAATTGGGAACAATACCTGTAGTTCCTGGTTTAGACCCACGTCTAACCCCATTGCCACTAATTATTCAGGGTTGTACTCAGTTACCTAACTTCCAGAGCAGCAGCAGCTGAATGTTGCTGAAATCACGGAGACAACAGGAGGGTTTTTAAAGAAGCAGTCCCTGGTCAGTTAAACGGCCAGGACAGATAAGATCTAGACAGCAGCATGGGGTCAACAGTAGAGTGGTGACCGGGGAGAGGAGCTCCAGTAATTGGGTTGCAGAGTGGGTGTAAAGTGAAGTGGACTTAAAAGCTGTAGTGGAGGATGGAAGCTGGTGATGACATGTTTGAATGCTGAGTGGGGAGGGACGAGAGGGATGTTCTGTGTGGAGCAGGATCCGTGTGACTGGCAGGGATTAGATCTGCAGCCCTCAAAGCCAGGCAGTTTTGAAAATTGTTGGTGTTTGGGCCCTTCCCACAGCCTGGGGTGGCAGTGGGTGTAGCCGGGATTTTAGAAAATTTTTAAATTTTATTTCTGGGCTCTTTCAGATCGTATGACAATCCATCATTCAGTTATATTAAGCACACTTGTACTTAGTTGCCATCAACATTTCCAAAACATTTTCTACTTGGGCCCTGGGTATCAGCTCTTTTTCCCCAACCCCACCCTTGTGAATCCTTGATCAATTATGTATTATTTCATGTCTTACACTGCCCTTCACCCACATTTCTGTTACTTGTTCCCCTGGGTGGATGGACTATATATCCAACCTTGTGATGAGTTTCCCCATTCTAAATTACCCTCCCCCACCACCACCACCACTACCACCACCATCCCTCTACCCTCATAGTATCACTACTCTCACTACCGTTCCTGAGGGTTTTATCTGTCCTGAATTCCATGTGTCGAAAGCTCTTACCAGTATCAATGTGTGTACTCTGGTCTAGCTGGATTTGTAAGGTAGAACTGGGTCACAGTAGTAGGTGGGGTGGAAGCATTCAGGGCCTAGAGGAATGATGTGCGTTTTGTTGATGCTATACAGCACACTGGTTGAATCGCCCTTCTGTGGAGTGATGTCCAATTGTCTACAAATGGGCTTTGGGTCTCCACTCCACCACCACCACCCCCAGCTTCACATCGATATAATTGTTTGCTTTGGGTCTTTTGATAACTGATCCTGTCGCCATTTGATCATAGGCTGGTGTGCTGCTTCCATGTGGGCTTATTTGCTTCCCTATCTATAGCTGGTTGTTTAATTTCAAGCCTTTGAGACCTTGGATGCTGTATCAGGTGAGAGCCAGGCATTGCTGGTAGAATTCTTGCTTGCCTTTTTGGAGTCTAACATCTCCAAGTGCATCTCTTGCAGACTTTCCCATCTTGTCAGTGGAGGTTTTCACTTTGCTGTGATGAGAACAGGTCTCACTGGAGCCTCCAGACTAAGGAGAGACCTGATAATATGCTTGTGGAAATCAGGCATTGATCCCCTCCCCTGGAACACGGTAGAATGATGCTAGTTGCTGTCAGTTCTGACTGTGGTTACCCCATGTTTGCAGAGGACTTCACAACAGTGACCTTAAGAAGCTGGTAACCTGGTGCCTCTTGGGGGTAGAAAGCTGGTAGTCCAACTTGCACCTGTCCTCAGAATGCTGGGTAATGTTCAGTCCATTTCAACTCAGGCCCTGCACTCTCAGTAGCTCAATACAGCAAAGGTTTCCATGAAAGCTGAGTGACCCCAGGCCTCCATGAATTGACTCAGAGATTCAGATAACCTCTTAGTTATCTGAATTCAGTTATCTGACTCAGTTATTCAGATAACCTCCCACCTCTGCATATGGGTCCCCCAGAAGGGAAGAAAGAGTTAGCAAATGCGTCCCAGTTCTTTAATACATCAGTCCTGAAACACATGACACGTGATCTCAGCCTGTGGTCAGCATGGGTCACATAGCCCAGCCTCGCTGCAAAAGAGACTTACGCAAAGGGATCCCATGGATGTTTAGCAGCTCACTCCATGCCATCTACAGACCTAGACAGTGTTTTGCAGTTACATTAAGAATCCTCATGTAGTTCCTGGTTTAGACCCACGTCTAACCCCGTTGCCACCAATTCTTCAGGGTTGTACTCAGCTGCCTAACTTCCAGAGCAGCAGCAGCTGAATGTTGCTGAAATCACGGAGACAACAGGAGGGTTTTAAAAAGGAAGCAATCGCTGGTCAGGCTAGGGACCAGCTCAAGGAAGCACAGTGGTCCCACCAAGAGTAGGGCTTGATGTAGCATGGATGTGCCCAACCAATGTGCATATGCTTGGCACTACACTTTTATCACCCATGTGATTCTTCACAATCAGTTGCCCCGGCCCCAGCTCCCTCTGCTGAATTCTAGAGTGAATTGACATCACTTGTCCTCTGAGCAGTTTCTTACCCTGTGAGCCTGACGTCTGAGAGAGAAGGGTGCTCCCCAGAATGCCGGTTGCAAGAACAGAAAAATGCCATAGCTCACACACTCAAGATTGCCCCCAATTAACTAGTGTAAGGCAGACCCCATGTGCTACATCTTATGCAAGTTCCTAGAAGAATTGGTACTTCAGGGATGGATGGATAAAAAGGAGGCTCTGAAAGGTGAGGCAGCTTCTCGGAGGCCACGTGGAATGCCTGTGTGCTTCTATGATAAGGGTCTTGTAGCTGGTCATCTTTTGGTGGTACAAAGAGTTCATTTGTGTGCTTGGCTGCTATCCAAGTTTGGTGATAGGACGTACCACACAGATGTTGCCTCAGCTGACAGGCTAGGTGGTCCGCTTCTCTTAAGACCAGCCATCAGAAACTCGGAGCACGGTTCTAACTGGGCACGCGTGGGGGTGCCATGAGTGGGCACACCGTAACTTCACAAGCTCATGCTGTTGTCCAGGCTGACAGCCCATGTCTGCTGGCGGGATGTGGCATGCGGCAGCCTGACAGACTAGGTGCTGGTGCTCCTACTGGATGGATGAGCAAGCTGGCGGTCAGAGAGCCTTAGCATGAGCATGGTCACAAAGCAAGGAAGTGACAGAACTGGAATCAAGCCAGGTCTCCTGGGAAAAGCTATCACCCGCAGCCTCAGGCCTGGCTGCCGGACTTCGCCAGGTGGATGCTCAGCCTTCTGTAACTTAGGTCCAGCTTCGGGGTCAGGATGGCCGACACCTGTCACTCACATTCCCCGTTTAGCATGATTGTCCATCGCTCAAAAAGCCGCGGTGCCCAAGGCAAATGCAGGCCAAGCTGGGCAGCAGCGAGGCCCTGCCAACAGCCCTGCTGCCCTCCCTTTCACCGCTTGCTTTCTCTTTCCTTCAGGAACTGTCTGGCAGGTCTCAGGATGGTTTTCTCCTGTCAACCTAGCTCCTATCACTCCAGTGGCTCTGAAGTCACTGAAAGAGTTTCCCCACAAGTTTCTGCTTTGGCTCCCGCCCCACCCCCTCTCCTCCCCAGCCCCTCTCTCTCCTTCCCCATGTGAGTGGGGCGGGTCTTTGAGAGGCAAGCTGAGATTGTTTTCTTTCCTGAAAGATCTGGCCTTTGGTTCAGGAAGAGGAAGCTGCCAGATCATCGTGTCAACATTTGCTCTGACTTTTAAAACATTTCAGATGGCACGGACTGCGCCTGGCCTCCGAGGCATGGCTGCTGAGGAGAGGCGCGGGCTTCAAGGGGCAGAGGCGGGCGCCCCTTCCTCCTACTGGACGGCAACTGACAAAGGAAAGGATGACCACGTTCTAGCATCAGTGCAACAGTTGCGGCTGGGAGAGGAGTCGGGCGGGTCGTTCAGAGAGCGCGGGGCAGCTGCCCGGCTGGCCTGTGTGGTGTGTGATGAGGTTGGCGAGGTGAAGTGACTGGATGGCAGGGCTCTCTGGCTGGAAAACAGACAGCTTTCAGTTGCCCTTCCCTCTTCTCCAAGTGTCCTCTCTGGACTTGCCCCACAGCACTTGTCCAGCTGGGAAACGCTGGGATCCCTATACCCTCAGGTGGACTGCTTGCCGTCCTGACAGGAATTCAGAGGGTTTATTCGTTCTGATTGTGCCCCAGTTTCATGACAAACGGCCAGGGGTTGATTTGTCTTAATCTCAGCGCCACGCGTCATGCGCTGTTGACCTGTAGTGTCTACGCCATAGCGGAGGCGCCCGCCTCAGTTGGTGGCATTGAAATGGATGTAATGGGTCATCCTGTGGAACATGC